CACTTATAAGTGAGTATATACTGTGTGTGTCTTTCTCCTTCTGCGATACCTCACTCAGGATGATCTTTTCTAGATCCACTGTCGTCAGAACAAAACGACAACCTACAGACTGGGAAAGAAAGTCTCTTACTCTTAAAGCCTATGTTGTAACATTTGTAAAATAATAACTATGAAATTGAACCATTTACAACATTTAATAAAAATATGCAAAAATGAATTCCTATAGTTTTTAACAAAAATTTATCACTCATTTCTTGTCACTTAATTTTGTCTTCTTGTCAAAATATTGGACTCAAATCCCAGTGGCAGCAATGGGCTGCAAAAAATTTGGTCTAGTTATTTCTAAAAATACATAAAATAAAACACATTGTTTAATTTGATATTAATTACCTCAGCCATATTGGAAGTACCAGGCAGACATTTTTCTCCAAAATTTCGGGTTAAGCTTAAGTTTGTAAAACACATCCTTAGGAATACTGATACAATTGATTTCTTAATGAGACATTAAAAGAATTCATTTAAATAGAAAAATATTGAGTTAGCCTTTCAATTTAACTACTGAACAGTGTCCAGGGCCATGAACAGGCACCTGATTAATTTTACCTATTCCTCAAGATGAGCTTATCATTTTCTAAGTACTACGTAATTTTTCCTAGGGGGTTATAAATAAAACTGTAGACCTATTTCTATCTATCTATCTATCTATCTATCTATCTATCTATCTATCTATCTATCTACAGAGAGAATCTTGTGTCATGTCAAGACATTTAAATAAAAAAAATCTACTGGTATACTTTGAGAGTTTTAAATTTATGATCTTTCCTAAAGTAACAAAACCTTTTATAAGTCTTTTATAACAAAATCTTTCATAAAAAAACAAAGTAAGGTAGGGTTTATTAAATACAGAAACATAAACCCTTAATAGCATTCTATTGGTATCCAGATGTTTCTCTCTCTGTAGTGTATATTTAAGACTAATCTTCATTGCTCAATAGAAAAAGTGCTTTGTAAAGGCTACCAAAATCAATTACAATTTGTCTACTTTGGGATGCCAATGAGGCAGAGAATTAACCTCTGACTAATTTTCAAAGCCATTTAACAGATGATGGTTTTGTACATTTGCTGCCACAAGCACCATCCACTTTGGAATGCTTACAAATGTCTGATTTAGGGTGCACAAAATGTATCATCTAGGTCGTGATAAAACCACAGGACCTATTTGTTTATCTTATTCCCACAAAAATCTCCTGAGGTCCAAGAGAGACACTAATTAATCTTATTACTAAATAAATATCTATAGTTAATAAGAAATCCCATGCTCTCTGGTGTAAAATGAAAATCTTCCAACCACATACTGAAATTATTATATGGGACACAATGCTATTATAGGATTCATGCACACCAATAACATTGTTTGTTGAGTTAGTTTTATGAGGAGGAACTTCCTGCATGCATTATGACTTTTACAGATGACAAAAATATTAAAGCAGTTACTGCTTATAGTTAAAAAAGAACCATAGTGACTGAATAGATTCGAGTCTAATCACCTTTGAGGTTGATGACTAAAAAAAATAGTACCACTCACAAAGCACAGGATTTGTTGAATTGAAATTTTATGCAGAATTTATTTTTGATAATGTTATTATTAGTTCTTTACAAAGTTATACAATGTGCTCTGTTCATACCTAATGTCTCCCATACCTAATTCCTCCAATATCCTCATCCATCCCCCAACCACCCAGCTTCTCATTTTTCTGTCCCTCTGACTCTCCATTTTTCTTTCTTTTAAAGCCATTGAGTAGCCTTTTACACTGGTTGCCTAATCATTTTAAAATTTTACAGATACAGACATATTATTCAAATGTTAAACCAGAATATGAATCTGATAATCTTATGTTTATTATTTATGTACATATTTACTACTCATGCTCAGTTATAAATGTTTTATGTGAAAATATTAACTGATAGAGTAGTATAAGACACTTCTCCAAAGATGTCAAAATTACGAACAGAGAAAACGCAAACTTGCTTTGTATACCCATGCCAAAAAGAAATCTTCCTTAGACATTCTCTCTGACAGAAAATTTGATGGGCATCAATATGTCAGGTAAACTTACTACTAAAGATGGAATGATTAAAAAAAAAATCAAGCTGGGGAGAGAGAAAAGCAATTAAAGCATTTATTGCCTGGGTTTTGCCATATTCTTTCTAGTAGCAGGTGATTGAATAAGACTTAACATGTCCGTATTTTCATAAGCCTGAAAGACATAGTAACATTTCTTGAGCTACAGTCTAAGCAGATGTTTCCTAATTTGGTCTTGACGATACTTATCTCATTAATTCAAAGGCTGTTGACTTGTAATCATGTGCCGTGTAAAGAAGAAGCTTTCAAGACAGTCACAACATCAGATAAATACATTCGGAGCACTCTAAATTCAGATTGGCAACACTGATAGAGGAAATGAGCAATCTGAAGACTTCTCAAGAAGCATGTATCCCCAAATACTTCTACTCCAAGACAGAACATGCTCTCTGTTAGAAGGCAAACGTTTTACTGAATAGCATACTGTACTTAATGGAGAAAACCAATATTACATCTTTGAATAATTACACATTCATGAGCTCTGTGCCATAGGTCAGGTGACTGCTTGAGCAGTGGAATAAATGAGATGCTTGGGAGGTTGGAAGATTGTAAAATAAGATAAAAGAAAAAAACACATATTATTTCAGCATATGTCTTTGCCATGTATTATTATTTCATTTGGTTTTTTTCCAAAGAAAAACTGCTTTAAGTTTCAAAATATCTACAAAAACAGAATAATAAACACAAGGTATACTATAATTATTTGTTAGTCAATATTCAAAATTAACAGTTTTCTAGATATTATACTGTTAGTTTTGGGATATATTTAATAAACAAAGATATTTAAGAATGTAATATAGTGATTTGAAATAATGACAGCATCTTGCCAGGACAATAATTATGTTTGGAAGAATAGATGTGTTATTTCAAGTCACAACAGAACTTTTAAAATACATTTTAACACTGAATGAGATTGTTTGCTCTCTGTTATCACTTTGTATACCATTAACACATACTCTTGGCCTGCAACTAAATGACACTTCAGAATATTAATCTTAACAGGACCAACCTGTGAGTAGAATCAGTTATAAGGTGGGTATTTATCATGTAGAAAATTTCAGAAATATATGCCCTCATGCATAAAATTATCTCCTCATACAATACTCTTTCTTTATGATATCTCTGTATAGCCACACATAAATAATTAATCACTATAAAGGTGTGGCGGTTTGCATCTGCAATCACTTAGATCACAGGCATTGGAAAATTAAGAGTATGAGGCTAAGCTGGGCTAGAGAATAGTTTCCTATATCAACAACGACAAACTAGAGAGAGAGAGAGAATATTTTCTTTGGAAAAAAAACCTAAATGTACAGAGGAAAGACAGAGATGGAGATAGAGACAGAGAAAGAGAGGATGGCTGTCTTTGCAAAACCAACACAGACCTCAAGTTGCTTTATCATAAACAAACCTTCCAGAAAAGCAAGAAATGTACTAAAAAAAAAGCAGAAGAACCAGGAAAATTTGTATTTGGCTCTAGTTCTCAAATACATAAAACAAACAAACAAACAACAACAAAAAAAGAAAAAACATGAGGAGGAGCCCCCTTTCTCCACATCCTCTCCAACATGTGTTGTCATCTGAGTTTTTGATCTTAGCCATTCTGATGGGTGTAAGGGTTGTTTCATTTACATCTCCCTGATGACTAAGGATGTTTAACATTTTAAGTGTTTCTCTGCCATTCGATATTCCTCTATGGAGAATTCTCTGTTTAGCTCTGTACCCATTTTTAATTGGATTACTTGGTTTGTTGGTGTTGAACTTCTTAAGTTCTTTATATATTCTGGATATTATCGCTCTGTCAGATATAGGGTTGGTGAATAGCCTTTCCCAATCCCTGGGGGCCTTGCAGAGATTGATACCTCAACCAAGGATAATGTATGAAGAGGACCTAAAACTCCTGCTCAGATGTTGCTCATAGACTCAGTATATATGCCGGGTTCCTAGGAAGGGGAGCTGGGGCTGATTCTGGCGTGAGCTCAGTAGCAGGCTCTCTGATTGCTTCCCCCCCCTGGGGGTGCAAGCCTTGCCAGGCTACAGAGGAAGACAAAGCAACCAGTCCTGATGAGACCTGATAGGCTAGGGTCAGAGGAAGGAGGAGGAGGATCTCTCCTAGTGAACTAGGGGCGGGGCATAGGGGGTGAAGAAGGAGGGAAGGTAGGATTGGGAGGAGACGAAGGAGGGGCCACAGCTGGGATACAAATTGAATAAATTGTAATAAATGATAATAGAAAAATTGACCAGTAAAAAAAATATTTGAAAAGATAACAGGTCACAGATTCCGTGTTCTCTCTCCTTGTTCAATCAGTTGCTTAAGTTTTATATCTTATTTTTCTACATGGAAAGTTGTCTTCCTATGGTCTCAGAGATGAAGAGTATTCTGTGCTCTTGCAGAGGACCTGTGTTCCGTTCCTAGCACCCACATCGAGGGCTTCCCACCACCTGCAACTCCAGCTGCAGGAATTCAACATCATCTCCCGGACGCAGCAGATACCTACACATACATCTTCATACATACACAGAGCCACAAAAAATGCACATAAATAAAACTTAACACAAATTTCTAAAAGATTATTTTTCTAAGGGAAAATTCTTTAAGAGTAAAGTCATTTTTCTCTTTTCTTGGTCTTTGAGTAAGCTTCTGTAATTCATCCATGTCAGACTTTTTTCTATCTCTATCTATCTATCTATCTATCTATCTATCTATCTATCTATCTATCTATCTATCGTCTGTCTATTCATGTTACACCCTGATGGGAGCCTGCCCATCCTCTCCTCCCAGTTCTACCCTCCCACACTCTTCCTCCATTTCCCCTCCCCTTCTTAAAAGATAAGAGAGCCCCAAACCCCATGCCACTCCTCCAGACACTTCCTATCAGCACTAAGTTCCATCAACACTAAGGGCATCCTCTTCTACTAAGGCCAGACAAGACTGCCCAGCTAGGGGAAAGTGATCGAACAGCAGGGAACAGAGTCTATGTCAGGGACAGCCCCCTCTCCACTTACTAAGGAACCTATGTGAAAACCGACCTGACCACCAACTCCATAAGTTTAAGGGGTCTGGGTCCAGTCCATGCATGCACGTAGCTTAGTGTCAGGTTTCTGGGAGCACCCATGGGTCTAAGTTAGTTGACTCTGTTGATCTTCTTGTAGAGTTTTGTCCCCTTCTGGTCCCTCTGTCCTTCCCCCAACTCTTCCACAAGATTCTCAAAACTCCGTCTGATGTTTGGCTGTGGGTCTCAGCATCTGTTTCAGTTCTCTGCCGTGTAGAGCCTCTCAGAGGATAGTTAGCTGGGCTCATGTCTACAAGCATAGAAGAATATCATTAATAGTGACAGGGATTGGCTCTCTCCTATGGGGTGGATCTTCTAGCAGTGGGGTATGGAGAGACTGAAGTGATTATGCCCTATAGCCAGGCAGGACTTCCAATGGAGGGAGGGGGACTCCAACCCACCCACAAAACTTGTGACCAAAAATTCACCCTGCCTACAAGATAGGCAGGGATAAAAAATGTAGCAGATTTTGAGGAAATGGCTAGCCAATGACTTTAGACCCATGTCAGATTCTTAAAGTAATGAGTTATAAAATATTACATTTCGGTGTAATGTTAGAATGACTGAAATTTCAATGTCTATGTGTGCATGTTAGTAATTCTTTAGGCACCAAATGAATGAAATTGAATGTAAGCACAAGTTGACTGTGACATCTACCTGGGATGGTAGATGTCCTCTCTAGTTAGGACCTGTGTGGGAACATCCTCTGTGAGTTTCTGCGCACTTATCAGCATTAGGTAATCTTCAGAACAAATTCCTACCACTAGCTAATGGTTTACATTGGTATTTCTGTTCCATACTGTCAAGCCACACCAACAACACCAAGGTAGAAGACTCAAACACATAACCCCTATTGCAATTCCCTGCTGAAGATGTATTCACTGATGCTGTATAACATATTATTGTCTATGACGCCAGTGTCAAAACATAAAGATAGCTCTAAATAAAACTATAGATTTTGCTTTATGCCAAGAGGTTTTTTAAAATTGACTTTGAATATGATTACAGGTATACCAATTTAATAAATAAAAACTGTTTTTGCTGGAACAACTGAAAAGGTTTATGAGATATCTTCTATTTGAATGCTTAAGAACGTGTTAAGCATATTATCTGGCTTAAGTGGGAAGGTGCTAGCGTTGTGCTCTGGATAGCCAGCATGTTTCCAGAGCTCACATGCCTCAGTCCTGATTTCCTGCTGGCCCAGGATGATGCTGCCACACTGGGCTCTCAGCATCACTGAGATGCTCTCCACTTCTTGATAAACCCAATTTCTTATTCTGTTATGTGTAAGAAAAGGATGACCTAAAGTGAGAATCTTACTCTGCCAGGTGGAGACCATCGCCTTAGACACAGTGTTAGCCTTCTCTGAAGCCCCATTGAAATAAGAACAATTTCTTCTCTTATTTTCATAACAATTTAATAAGAAAAAATAACACAAAATTGTACTTCAAAAGAACATTATAGACAGGTTTTTTTTTAAATTTCCCAAATGGCCTCATCTTAAGTTTTAGTGTTAATCATCTCCTACAGTTCTATTTCCACTGAAAACCAGGCTAACTCTAGAGCTCAAATCAAATAATTTTTTATGCTTAATTTTTTGAAGGTTATTTTTGGTCTCATTAGTCATCCACATTTTTTTCTAGCATGCTCATCACAATCAGAGGAATTCTCTTATAATCATGTCAAATATATACATTATACATCTATTTCGATATCAAAGTGGGAGCTTCAGATCTGCTGATGGTTACTGCATTGTTTTAAATGAACTCAAACTCTCAGAGTTAAATTGTATTATCTTCTTGTGCAAATTCGCTGATATCCTGTTAATGTTAGTTACTAAATGATTGAAGTCATCTTTGACTGACCTGGTATGTCACCTTGACAATGTGAAGTTATTGCTCAAGATTTCACTGGAGAGCAGAGCTTTTATCAGTGTATTATTTCATACAGAGGCTCTTGTGGCTCATTTTCTCTGCAGAAGAGTTCTTTGAGCCCTCCCTCTTGTTTTCATACATTTTCCTAAACCATACTCCCCTGTTCTTTTACAGTGAATGCTATTTTACTTAGCAGCCGTATAGAATTCAAGCTGTTACTTTCCTTGCTGTGGAATTCTCTTTTTTAAATTTATTTATTGTTTTATTAATTTCAGTTTATTCACTTTGCATCCGAGCTGTAGCCCCACCCTAGTCCCATCCCAATCCTACCCTCCTTCCCTCCTCTCCTCTCATGTCCCTCCCCAAGTCCACTGACAGGGGAGGTCCTCCTCCCCTTGCCTCTAATCCTAGTCTATCTGGTCTCATCAGGACTGGCTGCATTGTCTTCTTCTGTGACTTGGTAAGCCTGCTCCCCCCTCAGGGGGAGTTGATTAAAGAGCAGGCCACTGACACTCTTATGTTCTTTCCTCTTAGGTTTACAGCAATCCCTCCATTCTGTCTAGTCTATCGCCTCTCTCACTCATCTTTCTATCCAGCTATCAAAGATTCCTATTCCTTTATACTGAAACTCATTTCTGTAGTATGCTACAAAAAAAAAAAAAAAAAAAAAAAAAAAAAAAAAAAAAAAAAAAAAAAATGGAAATGTTATTTACTTTCATTCCAGAAGTTTACAATTTGTTACAAACTATTGTCGGGAGCCACTCCCGCCATTACAAGATGGCGCCGGTTTCCTGCTTCCTGGTTCTTCTTGCCAGCATTGTTTTGCGATCTGCGCATGCGCCGCCTTATGCTAATGTTGGCTTGTGTGGTCCTCCATTTGGAGACCACATGCTAATTGGGTTTTGTGTGGAGCACCAATTACAGACGAACAAGTCACCCTGCTGGCTACTTAAGCAGAACGCACACAGGGTTCGGGGTCCTTCTCCATCTGCTGTTAAGAGCCTCACAATAAAGTTGCTGCTGGACAAATCCGTTGTTGCTGCGTCGTCCTTATCGGCGAGGGCTGCGCACGACAAACTATTAGAAAAAAATTATATTACACTTTGCAAATATTTTAATGAGCAATTTAAAATGAAATAGGGAAGAATTTTTAACTAATACTAAGACTCAGGAATCTTCTTGGTTGTTACATAGAGGTCTTCAAAAATAGTGATCATTTTCATGTTGTTTCTTCTGGTCAGGAAACAAAAGCAGTACTGTTTTATGTCATTATTCCTGGAAAGTCCATTTGTGAGAAGAACATAAGGTAGATCACACCTGAGCCATTTATAGCTGAAAAAGAGTCCCCATAAGTCCATTCTATTATTACAAAATGCACAGATATGTTTAGAAAACAATACTGTGATTTTAACACCTATCCAAAAGTAACCCAGTCAGCACAAACATTCTTTGAACTTTCATTTCGATTTTCCCTGAGCTATAACTCTGTAGTCTGACCTTATCTTGTGATGCTAGGCGCTGACAATGAACAGCTCCCTGTCAACCACAGGAGCCTGAGAGGACATAGCCAGCACTCTGCAATATGCCTTGTTGCTAACCCAGTATGTTATTCAGCTCACGGCTTTTGAACTCACTGTATTCTCCACTTACAATGGGCTTCACTAACTGTATCTCTATCAAAGCTAGAGGAGTGTCTACATATGCCATACATCCTATAGGAAGATTTGGTGAAAATATAAAGACATAGCTTTCAAAATGAAGCCTGCAGTGAAATTTTCCACTGGAATAAATTCACTCCACATCCCCCACCTCACGCAACTCCCTGTTTTGTCGACTGCTGTCATCTTTTTCTGTCTTGACTCAGAGGTCTCAGAGGAAGCACCTTGCTGTTCTGTCACTGAACTTGGTTTTGTCACAGTTGCCAGCACTTCCTTGTCCTCAGCTTATTTGAAGAACAGTCATACTGAGTGCTACTTCCTGTTCTTGATGTGTTGTTAATTCGTGTATTTAATGCCATGACCTTTTCCAGTGTTCTTTCCTCACTGATTTATCACTGTCACCTTTGCCAGTTGCTTATTTTCTGTCCTGCCTTTGAATATTTTGCACTGTATGGGGCTCTGGTTTGTCCTTCTCTTTTCTTTTGTATGTCTATCTGGATAAGTTAATTCAGTTATCATGGACTTACAAATTACATTATGTGCGTAGATCTAACGAGTCAGAAGCAAGCATTTTTTTTCCCTGATATTTATATTTACAATTGTAGCTGCTGATGAAGGTTTTTACTTGAATAGACCGACATGGAAATTTATTTCGTAATTATGTAAGCAAAAACTGGCTCATATTATTCTGTGTCTCTCAATTTAGATCTCCAAATCAAAACTGTGCCCACCTGCCAGCACTTCCACACCAGTGAGCAAACGCATTCCTGAATCTTTCAATGCCTCTATGCTCCAACCATGCTACAACCATGCACTCTTCTCTACTGCTCTTTTCTTTCTCTTATTCCAACATTTAAATTCACTAGCAAATTTTATTTCAACTAATAGGCTTGATTCTTAGCATCTCTCCTTTCTCATTATTAACTAATTGGAATCAATTCTTTACTCAATTATAATAGCAAAAAAGGAAGGTTTTTTTTTTTCAATAAAATATATATCTTAGCTCTATCCACCCCTAATAAGTCATCCAACACCTTCTTAAAAGAGCATCTTGGGATGTAGGAGAAAATCCAATTTCTTTTCTGGGAGGCAGGGGGAAGAATATGGCCTTTTAATTTTTTTTCAATTTAGTTGTAATTTAGTATATTATTGTGGAAAAAAAGACTACAGAGAAATGACAACAACAAAACACAATAGGAATAGAATTATCAGCAGGGAATTGAGAGTGAGGAGGTGGAATGAGCTGTAAAACTTTTGAGTATCCACTTTGAGTGGATACTGAGTATGTGCTATCTGTGGCTATTACTGATCCATATGATTGCCTGTTCTGTTTATTTGATGTGTAAGCTGAGTGGAAATCAACAGTAGTCAATCCTGTTTGTTCTAGGGAAGGCACATCAACAGAACTTCCACATCCTGTTGTGGCAAAGAAGTAAGACTTATCATTAAGTCAATACAGCTTTAATTTTCAGGTGTCTTCCCCACATAGACGCAGTCTAAAACTTATAAAGGAACTGTGACGACATAGTCAATATGCAGCTCGGTCTTCATGCGGGTGCTCTAGTAAGGGGAACAGGACATGGACTTGTTGCCTGCTTTTCAATCACCTCTCCCTGATGGGGGAGAGGGGTCCATTGCCAGGCCACAGAGGAAGAGGATGCAAGCACTCCTAATAAGACTTGATTGGGGTCAGATGGTAGGGGAGGAGGGTTCCTCCTTTCTGAGAAATAGGGGAGGGGAATAAGGGGAAAGAGGGAGGGAGAGTGGAACTTGGAGGATATGAAAGGAGGGGCTACAATCCAGATGTAAAGTGAATGAATTATAAAAAATTAAAGTTAAATTTAAAAAAAGTCAGTAGGATGGTACCCTGGGAGTTGTTTTCTTCCTTTGGTTACAAGCAAGGGGCAAATTATTTCTATTTCAGGAGTGAAGGGATTTTCATAAGAATAAAACCAATTATTCCTTTCACTTTATAGCACCTCTTTAAACATTCCAGTGCCACCCAATAGTCATCAAAGTGAGGAAAGGGGAATTCTGGAACAAACGTGGCTGAGTTTAAGATCCAGATTCTATAATACTCTAATTATATCATGTCCCATTACCTCGCTTCTCATTATAATCTGGTCACACCATTGTTCTTTCAATTAATTAAAAAGCTATGTTCTGTTCCAATTCTAACAGTTGCTGTATGCTAACTCCTTCTACCCAAAGCTATTTTCTTCTTTATGTCAGAGGCTAAATTTTTCTTAACTTAGGTCTCAGACACTCTTTCCCTGGGTTTCTACTGAGTACCGGTTGACTTCTTTCTTCTAGTTCACATCTATTTTATTATCACAAACAGAACCTAAATTTTTATTTTACAAGGATTCCTGTTTTTTTGTTTGTTTGTTTTTCTCATATGTCCATAATCAGCACAAGCCTAAATATGGGCAAGCCACTTCCTCTTTCTTAAACATAATAGTCAACACAGTATTTTTTCAATTACTATAAATCCTACCTTGTGAAGACACATGGTTAGAGATCAATACATATCTTCAAGTTATATTTCAATTGAAATTAAGTTACAGTAATGTTATGACCGTGAACAGAAGCAAATAATACCCCCTTTAAGAAAGTGACATAATGTATACCAATTTTGCATTGCCCAACCTGATACTTCTAAAATATTATTAATGTATACAACTATTCACTACAAAAAGTGTTGAATTATTTGGTTCTGACATTTCACAGGTTTTTGTGTCACGAGAAATGGATACATATTTTAACATTTCTTTAGGTCTAGTTAAATGGATGCATCATGACATACCTTGCTAAAAAGAGAGAGAGAGAGAGAGAACTCATGGTTCTGCAATTATTTGACAAGTAATTGATGCAATGAATGTAAAATTGCTTTAATGAATATACACCCATAAAGATAAATACATACATGAGTACAGTTATATTCAGTATTATGACAATTTGGTTGTTTATAGACTGCATTTATAATAAGATGGGTACCAACACATCTTATATTGCCTGATTATATATATTATATTATATTGCCTGATGAAATGAGATGTTTAATTTATCATAATTTTCCCCATGATTGAAATTTGTGTGTCTGTGTGTGTGTGTGTATAACACACAGCAATAACCATGTGAGTTCATTTAGTTATATCTACGCAGCTATGATGATAAGTAAAGCATGCTTGATCCCATCTCTCTCTGCAATGACAAAAAACTGGAATTGTTGATCATGCTCAGATATCTCAGAAAATAACAGAAAGCTTAATATAAAGTTACATTACATTATCAAATATAACTAATAGTTATCACTGTGGCTTCACCCTTAAAGCTGAAGCAACCCCTAAAAGTAAACTTGGCCTAATGATGTAAGCTTGTAAATAATCATCTATCTCCTTGGAATAGTGCATCTTTTTTCCTTCCCTAGCTCATTTCAATATTTAGGTTATGACCGCCACAATTATTGACAGAAAACTAACAAAAGACTCTTTTTCCCATGTCCTGAAACAGGTAGCAAAGGACTGTTAGGCCTGAGAGAAGGAAAACACAAGAGATCAGCACATATTCATTTTAGCTTTCTCCTGGTAGAACTTCTCAGCCACAGCACCAGAAAGAATAAAATACTGGGGCAGTTTAACAGATATGCCAGCTGTGTAGATGGACCTCCCATGAAATCAGAATGCATAGCTTTAATACTAAATTATGAAACTTCCATGCCAATGACTTAGAATAGAGTGTGTTTATGTGTCTCTGTGTGTCTTTCTCTGTGTGTTTGTGTGTTCATGTTGAATGAGGGAGTGGTGAGAGAGGTGGTAGTTAAACATAAAATAATTGGCTGAAAGGAGCACAGATTGAAATCAATGATTTTTCTACCCTAATGTCAGAAGCAACTAGTGTGTATGGGTTAATAACCTCTGTTTGTGGCTTTATATGCTAGCTAGGTAAGTAGGACCAGTAAAGTAACTTATTTCCTTGAAAAGCTCTAGAAAATCCTAATTTTTAGATAACAATTCTTCATCCCTTTCCCATACCATCTTTTATGTGCTGTTCAGGAAATAACTAGCAGAAACCTGGTCAGAGAGAAATAGAGAGATGGAAGACACAGGAGACTGAATATGTCTCTCTGGCTTGCCTTGTTTCATTTTGGCTCTTTTTTATTAATTACAATTTATTCACTTTGTATCCTAGCTGTAGTCCCCTCCTTCTTTCCCTCCCAATCCCATTCCCCTCTCTCTTCTCATCGTATGCCATTCTCCAAGTCCACTGATAGGGGAGGTCCTCCTTCCCTTCCCTCTGACCCTAGCCTATCAGGTCTCATAAGGACTGGCTGCATTGTCTTCCTATGTGGTCTCTTAAGGCTGTTCCCACCTCAGGGGGAGGTGATCAAAGAGCCAGCCACTGAGTTCATGTTAGAGA